GTCTAAATCCACTTCAAATTTTAAAATGCACATCTTTTGGCCATTCTTTACCACTTCAATAAATTAAAGAAAAAGATGTCGAGTGACAGATTTTCTTTACAATTTTGCTAACAAAAAATATTTTTTCCCATATTTTTAACAAATGGATTAAGAATGAGGCATTACCAGTTATTCTTAGGGTTGGGCAACATCATATTTTGTGCAATTAATTGTTAAAAACACAAATATTTGGCATTTTGCAATTACTGCAATTAGTGACTTCTTAATAAGTTATTGCAGCATGGAGCTAATGCCAATGCTAACATGGAGCTAGTGCTAATGCTAAGGGAACATTCCATATTTCCAGGTACCAGCTAGGGTTGGAGAAAATCGTATTGCATATAATAAAGCATACGAAAAACTGTCATTGCTTAATATTCAGAACTTGGTCATGATTGCGATTGCTGACCTATTTTAGTCATTGCTGCGCTGAACTAATTATAATGCTAATACAAAGACAGTGCTACCGCTAAGCTAACCCTAAACCTTTCTACAGTCAAAAAGACACAAGCAATCATCATAATCATCATATTAATCATCATCTATTAATTGACATATTAATCGTTACCAGATAAGTGCMACAATTAATTGCGATAGTTACTTTTACCAATATTGACTAACCCYAGTTATTAGCCATTTTTATGAAGTAAATGTCTTTAAAACATTTACCATTTTCCCTAAATTTATATAAGTTGTTTAAACAACAAGCATTCCTAAACTTTAAAAAAATAAATTCCCTGTTTCTATTGTCCAGGAAACTCACTCACGACAGGAAAAAAGGTGAATTTTTGCTCCTGGCTTTAGATGTCAGAGGTTACTGCAGATTGATTTTGCCAAAGGCAGACTCAGTTCAAGGAGATGACCAGTTTATTCCCAGCTGTACTCCCCAATCCACAAATGGTTTTTTTTTTCTCATTGTTATTTCGTCTCTTTTTTTAGTTATATCATAGCAATTCTTCCTAACCTTCCCCTTGCTCTCATCTCTGCAAACAGGCATTAGAATGTCAAACACATCTTTCTCCTCCTGATCCATATCTGCAGCACCCTCTTTTCTTTCTTTCTCTCACGTTTCCAGACCACTCCAGCAAATGTTACCTTTTCATATCTGGGCTGGGAAAATAAGCTGAGTGGATCTGCAGGCACGATAACCTCTGCTGCCGCCCTGCAAATGTCACTTTACCTCGCCGACCAATCACGTTTCTCTTTTGTAGCTAGTGTGGCTCTCTTATGGGGTTCACGCCGGTGACACAGAGACAGAGCTGATGTGCCTATGTGAATGAAAATGAGTCAGCAGGGCTCTCAGGTGTGGCCTACTGAGACTGACTGAAATATCGGAAAATATCAGGAAACTGAGCAGAGGGGTTTTTTTTTTTGCTTTGAAAGCTAATTAGTGCAGTAAAATGGTGCAGATAATATTGCCCATTGAGCAAAAGGAAACACTTTGATCAAGTTGCTGAAATCAGTAATTGAGAACTATATTTTTTAAACTGTGGATATTGGAAAGCTGTCAAGTCTTGGGTTAAAACCCCAGTCTTAATCCTACRCTTAGCCAAACCTAACTTTTGTCCCTTCATGTCAAGTCAAGGGTGGGAGTTTAAATGTTATAATTCAACACCTCTTTAAATAAGCCACTATGTCTTTAATTACTGCTGGTTGCAAACATATGGGATGCCAATGCAATTTAATTAGTTGTCTGGTTGCACCGGACTTTGGTTGTTGTGATTTAAAAAAATGTATTTTTTTATGGAAAAATATGACAGTTTTTACTATTTTGATGTTTAAGTGCAATCAACAGCAATGCTTTGTACGTAAAAGAATACACAGGTGTCTGCAACCTGTGGCTCTGGAGCCACATTGCGACTCTTTGGTCCCTTTGTAGTGGCTCTTTAAAGGCTGAGTAATAGTCGCACTTTGGACCCTCGCCAGCAGTGGAGGTGTTTATACTTGGCGCTTAAATTGCTGTAGATTTCTCCAAAAGAACACGTGGAGGACGTACCCTTTATAACTTGTGAAAATGTTTTAAGTACAAGAGCAAAAGCTTGACAAGCACACTATTTGAATGGTGTGCACTGCCTTTGCGGAGTTACAAAAATTTGGAGGTGCACAACCACATGCCAGGACACCGTGGGGCCGGTACGGCGCGATTGCATCACTATTGGCACGATGAATCAACTATAAACCTAGCTTCAAGTTTTGACCAAAATTACATTAGATAATTTTTTTGTTTGTTTTTAATCCCAACAAAAGAAAAAGTTAGCTTTAGCAAATGTTCTAAACTACTAATACTGTAGCTGGAGTGAAACGTTGATTAAATCATGCAAGTAGTTTGTTGAGCACTTCACTAGTGTGTTTTTTTTTTTGGCCCGCGGGCCAAAACAAAAAGATTGGGCACCCCTGTCCTAAAGTGTAAAAATAATATCCGTCCGTCCATTTTCTTTCGCTTATCAAAGGTCGGGTCGCGGGGGCAGCAGCCTAAGCAGAGAGACCCAGACTTCCCTCTCCCCAGCCACTTGGACCAGCTCCTCTGGGGGAATCCCAAGGCGTTCCCAAGCTGAGAAACATAGTCCCTCCAGCGTGTCCTGGGTCTTCCTCTGGGTCTCCTCCCAATGGGACGTGCCCAGAACACCTCACCAGGGAGGCGTCCAGGAGGCATCCTAACCAGATGAACCTCCTCAACTGGCACCTCTCGATGTGGAGGAGCAGCAGCTCTACTCTGAGTCCCTCCTGGATGACTGAGCTTCTCACCCTATCTCTAAGGGAGAGCCCAGACACCCTGCAGATGAAACTCATTTTGGCCGCTTTTATCCGCGATCTCGTTCTTTCAGTCACTACCCAAAGCTCGTGACCATAGGTGAGGGTAGGAATATAGACCGACTAGTAAACCAAGAGCTTCGCCTTCTGGCTCAGCTCCTGCTTCACCACAACAGACCGGTACAGCGCCCGCATCACTGCAGATGCATCACCAGTCCGCCTGTCGATCTCCTGCTCCATTCTTCCCTCATTCATGAACAAGACCCCAAGATACTTAAACTCCTCCACTTGAGACAGGACCTCCTCCCCGACCCGGAGAAGGCACCCTACCTTTTTCCGGCTCAAGACCATGGTCTCGGATTTGGAGGCACTGATCCTCAACCTGGCTGCTTCACACTCGGCTGTGAACCGCTCCAGTGAGGGCTGGAGATCACGATCTTATGAAGCCAACAGGACCACATCATCCGCAAAAAGCAGAGATGTGATCCTAAGGTCACCACAACGAATCCCTTCCCCTTGCTGGTAGTAAAAATAATATTAAATGTTCAAATTCACTGTATATTTTTAGTTGTATAACGTCACCCCCACTGTCCAGAAACCACCATTTCAACAAACTTAAAGTAGCCCACGGGCTACCAATTGATAATCACTGTTGAATGTTTTGTGGCTTTGGACACATTTTATTAGTGCGCTGAAATATACCATAAAAGATGTTGCAATGGTTGTGACAATAAGTACCTTTTATAGAGAAAACGGGGCATTAAGACAATTGGAAGCATTTTTTCACCTTTTTTTTAATACTGACAGTAACAGTGTAGGCCTCTTTAAAGTCTTGAAGGGTTAGAAGCTTTGGCCTGTATCCCATAGGTAGGTCTAAAGTGTAGAGGAAACAGGTAATTTGAGAATCTGCTTTTTTCTGCACCCAAAAACTTTCTAGTGCTGTTATCTGTGCCTTTATGGCATGCTAACATTAACTCCACTTGAAATGTAGCTTGGAAGGCTGCTGGCTGTACTATCAGTCTTATGCAACGGCCATTACAAAGATGAAGTATGTTGTCAAAGCTTTCAGCAGAATCAAGGCAATCAAGTATTTTGTTCTATATAGACTCTCTCTCTTTTTCTCAAATCACTTGTGAGTGCAATCTACTTCCCTGGCCATCAGCTCATACCGCTCATACGCAGGGAGCTGAAAGCGAGGATCACAGTGGCATCAGAATTTGCATGCTAGGTAATGTGTTCTTCACTCACAGAAAGATGGCAGATGGGAGCATGTATGATTTTCAATTACATTACAATGCTGCTGGAATGGATGGGCGCCGCAGCATTCAAGGTTTCTTTGCACGATGGCATATTTTACAATCTGGGAGCATCAATATTGGAGGCAGAAGTGTATCACGCACTTTTAACTCCTGTAGAAAACTAACAATCTCAAGCACATATTTTATTTATATTTGTAGTCCTGAAAAAGCTACAGGGAATTCATTTTAGTGAAATAACAATAGTATTTTCTTCATAAGTACATTTGGCTTCAGGCATTATAGTTTGAGACTATCTTTTAGTGTTGCAACTGTTGTCAGTTTGTCATACAGGCTAATAAATACATGCTTGCAATTTGAAATTAACAAAGGTAGAAGATACTTTAGAGAAGATGCTATTGAATAACAGACTGTGTCCCTTTTAACTTGGCGAGCAAAGACTTTAAGTGGTTTGTTCWGGTTCCTCTTCCTGAATGTCTCACTTGGAATACAAAGCATAATGTTTCACAAGCTTTCCCCAAATGATTGAGTTTCCAYGATTGTTGTTTGACTGACAGGCTTGTGACCTTTAAGCTTGAGGTCATTGTGTAAAGCCAATTGTGCCCGGAGACAGGTCTTTGCCAGTAGGCTTGTTTTAGGACATTTTGTTTACTCAAAGCATGTCAAGAGATCCACTCCTCCGTGGCTCACCCTATCTGGATCAGAAAGGCAGCCTGTCAAACTCAGAGCACATTCTGGTGTTGAATATTAACCACTACACAAGAAAAACATTATTTAGAAATGGAAAAGTATGTTCATGTTTCATTGCTGGGGAAGGTTCAACAAACTGGTAGAACAAGTTTGACCCCGAAAAAATCATGCTGTTTGACTCTGGTATGTGAATTGCTTGGATTCTTTGTTTAATGGTTGACCAGTTTAATGCTTAGGTCATTTTCTCCCCTTTTCTCCTTGTAGTTCCTGTGTCTCAAGAACATTCGGACGTTTCTAAAGGTGTGTCACGACAAGTTTGGTTTGCGGAACTGTGAACTGTTTGACCCATTTGACCTCTTTGACGTAAGAGACTTCGGCAAGGTGAGTCCAAAACTCTTATTTACAGATAATGGTCATCCCTTTTTTATTTGTTTTACACCTCACAGGGTTTTCTGCAAAAAACACGAGAGGAAGTAGAYACGGTTGTGTTTCTGGTAATCACGGTAGTCATTTAACATGAGGTATTTTTTTAAGATAAGATCTGGTTTTACTAGATTGAGTTTTTGCTGTTCTACATCTCAGAGCTACAGTTCAACAGAGATGCTGTCAAAGTGTTTTCTTTGAGAATTGTGATCATGTTTTGTTGGTTACGTATCCCCAACCAATTAGACCTCATTTAACTAAGATCAATGTRGGCATTGGAGTGGAATGTACAGCTCAACATGCCTATAGGCTTTTAGAGTTTCAAAGTAGCTCTGAGTCAAATCCATCCTTAAATAYAGCTGCCAATGCACTTCTGGGACCTCTTCTGAGCATTTGGTGCAACCCCAAGGTCATCAATCACATCTCRGGTCACTGGCTGAAGTGTAACACCGTTTCAATGCTCTTAACATGTCCATATGGTGTGTTTTTTTTTAACATACAAAGAAATAAAGCTAAATATATCACTTGGGAGACAAGGAAGACATTGCTGTCTCCCACTGAGAGTCTCAAAAAATCAGGCAGTATTTCTTGCATAACCAATTTTCGGAACCTGTACTTTCCCCTTGTATTGAGGGATTTACCAATGCTGTTTTACTATTAACAATATTAGCAACAYTTTGATCCAGCTACCATTGGTTGCACTTGTGATCCATTTAGTGTTACCTGACCCCCCCTCCAAAACAAGCTAATAACAATTAGTTAAGAAGTTAACAAGCTTTCTTTGATGACTTCTTTCTTTGATGCAGCCGTGCATGTTAAATTCTAACAGTTTCAGGTGATTGAACGTGTGTTTGAACCAAAGCAGGAGTGTTATTCTGTAGAGATGAGATATGGGAAAAAAAAGTAAATTGTGTCCTACAAGATCGATTACAACAAGGATGCATTGGTGGAACCTCTTCTGCTCGTTTATCTATAATAATATCTGGYGTAATTCAACTTATAAACTCTCCCAGGCATGAACTGAGACAAATGGCTAACGGGGGAAAAAAGACAGGAGAGGAGAAAAAGGATGAGAGAGAAGAAAAAGCAGACAAGGACTCACTTGGCAGTTTGTAGATAAACCACAAGACGGTGTCTGACAGTCAATGAGCTCGCAGTGAATGGTATTAAAATCCAACAGCAGTCAGAATCAATCACAAAGACCCTCCATATGTCAATTTAGAAATTGCTTTAGTATGGTCTCAGCGGTGGCGGGCTTGTCTCCTCATTGATTTTCCATTAAGGCCAAACATCACATTATAATATATTGAACTGAGTAGATCCCACTAATGTAGCATACATTTAAATAGTAAAAATGACTCATAAACAGAGTTTAAAGATGTGCAGTTAGTCCTTACAGTCTTGTTTTGGAGCTCTTTTTTTTGTTACGTTGGCACAGTTTTTCTGTCAAGTTTATCCAAAGGCAAAACAAAAWTCTTATCATACAGCTCGTAATCCTAATAATTCTGCAATCCACCTATTTCCTTTACTTCTTTGTTCTTCCATCAGACGTTTGTTTACACATTGGAGGAACAAGCCCCAAGTCACATGACACTTACATTTTAAAAGCATAAAAGACTGAATATCAGAGCAATTTATTTGTATTTGTACAGATTTTATTTGTACAAACCACATCTAGATAAATATGTGTCACTAGTTTCTAAAAGAAGGCCAACGGACACAGGTTTTATTGTCCTTTTAAGGTTCCTGACTTTTCAGCCTCACCATTGATTGAACTGTTATTACATTGTCATTGACTGTGTGATAGTTAATGCAGTGTTTCCACTACAGTTCTACAAGGAGTGCCCCACCCTCCCTCAACAGAACCATATGTCACCTAAAAAACCCCTATCCATAAAGGTGAGGGGTCGTACCACAGACAGTTGTTTTATTTTTCATATTGGAGTTGGAGGAGGAAAATTATTACTTTTTTCTGTTTTGTTAACTGCAGAGATGAAAAGATGTTTACGWCCGTTTGCTCCGAAGTGCATTGCGCTAATTTAACAAACGACTCCTGGCTCTGAGAGCACAGCAGATCATTTTCAGCAACACGGGGAAGAGTATGGCAGGCCATTTTTACATTTAATCAACTTTTCGATACCTAAATTCCGGATATCAGAAACTGGTTTATGACTAGACATGTTAGTTATTTTTAATTTATTTTCATTTATTTT